TCATTTATAGTGCACCTGGTCTATCAACATGCCGAGTTTCTCCGGACACAGCTGCCTATTCCCTCGGAAGAGGTTGGCATTTTCCATGGTACCGTTGCACCCGGTGTTTGGATTGACAGTTGGGACCAGGTAGACTGATGGTTGTTTGCCCCTGATAGTTTCCTTTTGCTCATTTCAATTTCTTTTAAATCCCTTTTTCTGCATCTCTGCCGATCAGCCCTGTTGTTGTGTATCGACGGTGTTTGAACTAGTGGGTAGCTGCCTTTTCAGACTCCCGTAGAAACCGTCCTCGGTAAGAAGTGGCTACATAAGTAGACTGCATTTTTCCCACTGATTTTTGACGGTCTCGCAAATTCAAATATATTTTGTAGAAACCGCAAGCAAAAATGTGTTTTTTTTCAGTCGTTTGATAGACAATCACGTCATCTTTATATTTTTTTACTCGAAGGAGGAGTATAATTAGGTTTTAAAAAAAGTTTTCTAATTAAAAGATTTTTAAGCCCGCGCAGTGCCCATTCATATAGCATCGTACTTGCCCGTTTACGACTGCTTCTCATGGAATGTACAACATAATCCGCTTTCATTGCAAAATTTTGTGGACTCTATGTGATATGTTTTTAAAGGCATAGAAGAATATGTGATTTTCGTTACGCGGAGCGCATACACCTTGCTGACTGAAATCACTAAGCGCCAATGAAACGACTGATCAGGCTGCAAATTATTCGGCAATTAAAAAACTTTTTTAAAACCTAATTATGCTCCTCCTTCGAGTAAAAAAATATAAAGGTGACGTGATTGTCTATCAAACGACTGAAAAAAAGCACATTTTTGCTCGCGGTTTCTACAAAATATATTTGAATTTGCGAGACCATCAAAAATCAGTGGGAAAAATGCAGGCGTCTTAAGTAGCCACTTCTTACCGAGGACGGTTTCTACGGGAGTCTGAAAAGTGGTGTATTCAATCCGAAATATTATAGGATTGTGCCGCAAGGTAATCAGCATTATAACCGCGCTTAAGTAATCTTTCCAAATCGAAAACGCATTTCAGAATTTTAGTCAACATTTCATGAGAACGGTCATTCACTGTAGGTCACGGTGGTATTTAACGCAACCCCGCTCCTCACCTCAATGTGACAGAGCCCAAGAATGGAAACTGTCTGCGATCTGTCCGAGGGTGACAACGCGCCGACATAATCACACTTTTCCAGCGGCCCAAATTCTGTCGCAAGACGCCTTTCAATTTTGAGGGGTCGGCATACGAGCAAATCAATGCGACTCCGATGCGATCGCAGTTCTGTAGTTTCACAACTGGGGCTGAACTCCAAAAACTAAGGGCAACGATGTTTGCGACCGACAGACAAACATTTTGAACGCAACCTACAGGTGGTATTTTCGACGTCCTCAGGCGGGAGACGGTTTTTGAATTTCACTAACAACTCAAGTCCAGTTTCCGGTTGACACCGCTGACAGAAGACAACAGTCATTTATCGTCTCCGAAAGCCCGCTTCCCTCATAGGGTCAACAAGCGCCTTAAGACGACGGTTTACGGGTGGGACACTAACGGGAATCCGCGACCACCCGTCAGGACATAAAAGCAGCTGTGTGTGTGTGTGTGAAGCATCTACATGAGAACAGACACTCACTGCAGATAGGTAGGCGACAGAGTGCTCAAACTCCGCCATCGTTAGCACAACACGTGCAGTAGATGCTGCGCAAGTCCACTCCTGCCATAAACTATTTCACGCGCAACCCATCGTGCCTCCTCTCCGCCTTCTGCAGAGCACACGCTGAACGTTGTCGTTCGCGACGGTGTGCTTTGTGCTTTTAAAGCGGCCTACGCGGTAGAACAACACGGGCCAAATCAGAGTCCGACAGGCCTTCTCGGGAATGCGCATCCATAAAAAAGTGCTAACATTTTGCGGCTGTGATGGCAGGCCCAGTTGATGCGCCAATTGGGACCCGTGCCGCCGCCGCCGCCGACGCCGCCGCCTCCTTTTTGTCCGTTTACGTTGTGAACCAAGAGGTGTGGTGGCACGCCAGGCGCGGGTTTTCGCCGTGCCAGCAACCTGTGCCATCTCCCGCCTCGGGTCTTCTTGACTGTCTTGACAGAAGGTCCAGGTGGGTGGGGGAAGTAGGAGGAGAGAGTGCGGTAGATGTGCGAGTAGTCGTCACTGCTCTCACCCTGCCCTGGAACACACGGTGGACGTCATTGGTCACGACTGTTGGTCACGACTCGGAACGACAACGAGCGGTCATTTTCTTCCCCCGTCGCGAACTATAAATATATTGGAAAATTGAGTTCAGGTGTTAGAAGGAATACCCAGTTCGTTTCCGTTTGATGATGACTCAGGTGTCTTCAGGCGTATCGTGCCCCACAATTTTGGTCGATAGTATTCATAATCGATGCTCCTCGTCGTTGCAATACCCGCGCGGAAGTTAGATTAAACAACTGGGACCCTATCGATGTTTCTTTTACGTATTCGTACTCAGCTCCACAAGATATTAAAAGAGGTCTTCAGCCAGTGTCTGAAGAGATCAATACTATGTCTTATCTCGACTTTCTTTTGTTGGCTTCGTTTTGACGTTGTTTAAGCAGGGTTTATATGTCCTCAACCGTTGGATCTTGTGCAACAAAATGATGTCACATCGATAGAGTGTACAGAACTGAATTTTCTGTCTCATGCATTATAGCATTCCCATGGCAGGGTCATTATCAATTCAGCCGCCACATACCATCTTTCGGGCACACCGGACAGTCATTAAAGCTTTCCTTTTTCGGGATATCCCTGCAGATCCCACAAATTTTATACTCTGATACTGGAACTCACTTTGTGGTCCCCTTGTTAACGTACCGCTTTTTATGCTTTAGAACGTTTGGCGCGGTCAGCTGGAGAATCATAAAGTGCTCGTAGCGACCGCTGGTGTCTTTCGTGACGTCCTAAACCACAGGAAAGTGAGCCTGAATGATGTTTGCTTGCTCATCTTTGACGAGTGCCACCACGCGGATCCTGACACGAAATCAGATTTCACCGATATCTGTCAACACCTTCATGCCTTTCCGCCGGGCCGCTGGCGTCCGGACTACTCACGGGGGCCTAAGGTAATGAGACATTTATATTTCTCATCTAACCAACAACCACCACCACCATCAACCTCCTCCTCCTCCACCTCCTCCTCCTCCACCTCCTCCTCCTCATCCTCCCCCCCTCCTCCCACTCTCCCCTTTCCTGCTCTGGTTCGCGCTTCGCCCCGCGTCCCCTACCTTCCTCTGTCCCTCGCATTCTGCTCGCATACAACGACAAACGAAGCCGTACTCCTTGTGGCCTATCGACCAGTTTGTTCTCTGTTGATTGTCTGACCTCTCCGCACTTCCCCTCATTTTGCTTCTCCGCAGGTGTTGGGCCTCACAGCTTCAGTAGTAAACAATGTCAAACAGGGAACCCCCCTAGACACAAAATTGCACCGCCTAGAGGCTCTCATGCGCGCTCGTTTGATCACCTCTGAGGACAGCTCTATCGCTGCGGTGATGGGAAAGCGGGAACAGTCGATTGTCCCTTTCTCATCCGGTGGATCGCAGGCTCTTGCTGGCGAACCCTTCTCTCCATTCTATCAGGCCTTGGCAGAGGGTGTCAAGACCCTGTCGGGGTGAGTTTTCTGCGCACAAATGACTTGCTGAGCCAGTCAGCCCTGAGCAATGCAATAAATCTTCTCCGGCCAGCCATTTCACTTGAACACTGCGGAATTCAACTTCCTCTCCTCTCCTATTACGATACAACGTGTATATTCCTATTCTCTCTCTCTCCCCTAGCATGTCTCTTTCTTCACTGCCGGACTTCATCGACCTGGAATCACTGTTCGACAGCAACAGACGCATCCGGAAGGAGGACTTTCTCAATGTGATGCAGTTTGAGGATGCGAATCCGAAGAAATTCAAGCGTATAATTCAGCAGTGTATGCATGTTATGGAGGAGTTTGGACCGTGGTGCGCCGACATGGTAAGTCCCCATCCTCGACCCCCCCCCTCAGTTTGTCCTTGTGTTTGGTAGTCCAGCAAGCAACCATTTGAGAGCCCTGACGATTGAGTTGGGGGAAGAGATTGTCCTGAGTGTCCCACTGTCTTTGTGCAGATATGTGCTTGTGTGTTTGCTTTGTCCCTAAAACGAGCCACACAGTAGATGTGCTGGACCAACACAGTGGCTAGAACGGAGTCCGACAGGCGTTATCAGGAATGCTCGCCCATAGCAGATAGCAACACTAGGTGTGGCGGCGGCAGGCCCAGTTGCAAGCTCATGCCGTGCCAATTACGATCCGAACCGCCCCTCCTTTTCTTGTTGCATAAAATCCTGGTCAATGTACACTGGACCAAGGAGTGTGATGGCACGCCGAGGTGCGGGTTTTCGCCTTTCCAACCACCTGCACCCTCTCGCACCTCCGATAATCTTGACTCTGTCATGACACTGAGTCTACTTTGGAAAGGCGAGAGTGCGATGGATGCTGCGCAAGTCTACGCAATAAACGAATTCACGCGCAAGCTACCGCTAC